GCGACCGCGTCTCTCCGCGAACGGTCGTAACACCCATTGATACTTTTAATCCCGGTTATCTTGCGCATCCATGTCCATTTTCTCTCGTATAGCCGGCTCATAATATTTTTTACACTTTACAATACATTAATATTCTTTTCTCCCACATTTTGTAATCACGTCCGCCGTCGACTGGCCCCACGAAGGCCAGAAGAGAGGACAGAGAAGTCGCACCGACTGCGAGGGGAACGGCCCGGAGGAGGCTATGGAGACGGAGACTTCCCCGACGTGAGCGGAAGAAGAGGAGGAGGACAACTGCTCCTGCAGTGCAATCTTAAACGCTCCCGCCGGGCTCAGGACTTAATGTTCCAGAGCTTGGCAAAGCGGTTGATCGGCCTGACAGCGGTGGCCGAGCCGTACAGCATTCCCGACGCGTCACGGGGCGCTGGGGATCTGATCGGCTCGGTCGCCATATTCTAGACCGGGATCGCGGGAAGCCCCTCCTGCTCGGTGATCGAGCGGAGACGGGGCTTCGTGGCCGTGAAATAGCGCGACCTGGCCATCTACGTGTCGCCCAACATCAGCTGGACCGAATACGCCTCCGTCCTGGACGGACTTTCGGCTTGCGCGAGGCGTTTGGGCGCCTGCCCGTCACTGGTCCTCGGGGACTTCAACGCTCACTCAACGGCATGGGGCTCGCGCAGAACTAACGGAAGGGGGCGCGATGTGCAGGACTGAGCGGCCGCACTCGACCTCCGTCTTATGAGCCGAGGTTCGTCCAGCACGAGCGTGGCGTGGCGTGACGAGACCATAGTAAACCTCACAAGGGCAAACCCTGCCGCATCCCGCTGTGTTTCCGGTTGGGAGGTTTCCCCGAGGGAGACGCTCTCGGACCATCTCTACATCTTGATGGAGGTGACGGTTGGCGGCGCGATGGGCGACCGTTTGTTGGGTGCGCGCGGGCCCATCGGCCTACCGGGAAGGAGAAGATTCCCGCGGTGGGCGGTGACCCGCCGCGACGAGGACTTCATGGCGGCGGCCGCTATAGTTGCCTGGTTGGAAGGATCTCCGACCGAAGAGGACGCGGAAGCGGGGGCGACCTGGCTAAGGCGCGACATGCACGCGATCTGCGACTTGTGTTGCCGCGATCCGCATCCCCGCGGTGTAATGGTGGTCCGAGGAGAACGCTCGTCTCCGCGAGGCGTGCATCCGCGCTCGGCACCGGTACAACAGATCTTGCCGTAGACGGCGTGTGGACAAAGCGGTGGCTCGTCTGTACGAGGCCTACTGCGAAGCGCGGAGGCCCCTGCAACGAGCCATCAAGGAAGAGGCGGGCCTGGGACGAGCTTCTGGCCAGCCTCAACTCCGATCCCTGGGGGCGCCCTTAGAAGATGGTGTTGAACAAACTCCGTTCGTAGGCGCCTCCTGTAACTGAGAGCATGGACCCTCGGTCCCCGGCGGAGGTCGTCGGCACCCTGTTCCCGGAAGCGGCGAACGAGGAAAATGGCAGCTTTACCGAAGAGGAGGAGTAGGTGCCTCAACCGCCGGAAGAAGAACCACGTGTCACCGCGGAAAGTTGGGGCCCGGATTCGAGAGTCGCCGAGGAAGACCCGGGACCGTCGGGAGGATCGAAGCGCGGAAAGCTCCGGGTCCCGACGGAGTCCCAGCCCGCCTATGGAAGGACGTGGCCGGGGTCTTAGCTCCGAGACTAATGCGTCTGTTCGACGAATGCCTGTCTCGAGGTCCATTGCCGGCTTTGTGGAAGGAGGGGCGGATGGTCCGGCTGCCGAAACTGGGGCGCTCTCCGGACTCGCCTTCCGCCATCCGGCCGGTGTGCCGTTTGGACGACGCTGGCAAACTGCTGTAGAGAGTGGTGGCTTCCCGCCTGGAGTCGCATTTGTCCCGGAGTGTTCCCGGACTGCACGACGGCCAGTTCGGCTTCGAGAGAGGGCGGTCTACAACCGACGCTGTCACCTGTGTCCGCTCCCTTGTCGAGGAGGCCAAGCGGTGTGGTTAAGTGGCGTTGACCGTGTCGCTGATCGTGGTCAATGCTTTCAACAGCATCCCCTAGGACAGGATATGCCGGGCCCTCGAATTTCATCGGGTACCCGCGTACCTGCGGGGTGTGGTCCGGGCGTTCCACCGGGACCGGCGTATCGTCTACACCGCCCGGGGCGGAGGGATGACTTGGAGAGCCGTACACAGCGGGGTCCCGCAGGGTTCGGTGTTGGGTCCGTTGGTGTGGAACATCGCGTACG